TGCGCTACCGCTTGAGCCACATCCCCAGCCCCCACTCTATAGGTTCTTAATCAAGAAAAAGACAATCCTTAATGCTAGGCACTGCAATAGACATAGTCAATTCACAGCAAACAATTCTAGATTAATTCTAATCACTGCAAACACACTTAATCATGACAGGCTAATGACAGACATTCCCTCTGTATGCTAAGTTCTAAAGTCTTAAGCCTTAGGCTTTAAGTCCAGAAGATGCACACTCACTCAGACTGCGGTGATCAGGCCTGGAACCAAGGCAGGTTTTCCCTGGGGAGGAGTGGACCACAGGTTGAGGAAGGGGTTGTAGGGAGGAGTTGCGGCTCTCACTAAGGTCCAGACCAGGCAGTACAGTTTGAGAGCCGTGAGGATCACGCAGAGGATCAGGAATGATGACAAGTGATGGGATGTCAGGTCCTCATCAGGCTCTCCAGCTTGAGTGCATCCTTGTTTCTGCTTGCTGAATCCCTGTTCATTTGCTCTATCATTTATACTAAATTTGGGGGCTTTTGACCCCCCCCTTTCAATCCTTATCAGCTACAGTGACATCATTTACCTTGGGGTCAGAGACATCTGGTCTGGTGGTCTCCACCCTGATCTTCTCGCCTTTCCCTCTTATCAGGCAAGGACAGCGTGTCAGGGGCTTCACTCTGTTTATTAGGGTGAGGGGAAGTAACTTGTTTGAGGCCATACTGGAGGGATCTGTGGGTGTGCCTGGTGAGATTGCAGGGTAAACTGGAGTTTTTAAACTGGAGTTGCTTAGGCTCAGGCCTAAGACCATCCTAACAACTTACTTTTCCCAGTGTTGGGGTTTTTTGTTTTGTTTTTAGTAGTGGTGCTGGGGGTGGAACCCAGGGCCTCACTTATGCTAGGCAAGCACTCTATCACTTACCTACATTCCCCAGACCTAATACCTAGTACCTTGAACAGTTCAAGATTGTTCAAGTGGAAAAGTGTACATCAACTGTTTCCCACAACATTATATACAGGAACTCAATAAATGTAAAATATTTTTATTAGTATATCCTTCCCATCATTCCCTTTTCCCTAAGATAACATTACCCAGCCAGTCACAGTGGCTCACACCTCTAATCCCAGCAGCATGGAAGGCTGAAGCAGGAGGATGGCGTGTTCAAAGCCAGCCACAGCAATTTAGCAAGGCCCTAAGCAACTTGGTAGAGTCTCTGTTTCTAAATAAAACATAAGAAAGGGCTGGGGATGTGGCTCAGTGGTTGAGCACCCTTGGGTTCAATCCCTGGTACAAAAAAAAGAAAAGAAAGAAAGCATTACCCTTAAGAGGGTACAAGCTTCAGATCAGGAGTAAGTTCTAAGAACTGAGAGGACAGCCATGAACGAAAAAGACAAAAGTCCCCGTTCCCAGGGAGATCATGTTAGTGGGAGATACAGAGGCAGACGCAAAAATAAAAGTCAACAGGATGTTAAGCAATTGCCTGCTCTAAGGAAAAATACAAAGCAGAGGGAGCATATGGCGTGAAGCTGTTTTTAGTAGCATGGTCAGAAGACACCTTCCATAAAATAGCATTTGAACAGAAGGCTGCAAAAAGTTGAGACGCAGGCAGACACCTGGAGGGGGAGCATCCCAGGAAGAGGCAACCGCAAACGCAAAGGTTGAGTTGGGAACAAACATGATGAGTTCCAGAAGCTTCAAGGAGCCTTGTGTGGCTGGAGGGGGAGGAGGGAGGAAGAGTGGGGGTGAGGTGGGGGAGGAGGGGGACAGAAAGTAGACGCGATGGCAAAGACTTTGGCTTGTCCTCTGAGTGAGGCAGGAGTCACCAGAGGGACTTGAGACAGGATCTGCCCTTGGCTTTAACGGACACTATGCCTCCCGTGTGGAGAACAGAGAGTCCAGATGAGAAAAGGGTAATGAGGAAGTAAGGTGGTCGATAAGAATGTGAGAAATGGCAGCATCGGGCCAAGGTCACGGCAGAGGGAATGATCCTAAATTTTGCGCGTGGTGGTTGGATTCTGGAGATATTTAAAAAAAAAAAAAAAAACAGAGAGGCTGGCTGGTGCCTTGGCTATAGCATCTGATGCAAACAGAGACGACGGGAATGAGCCTAATTTTTTTCCATCCTAAGCACCTGGAAGTATGGAGCTGCTGTCCACTGAGATCAAGAAGAGTATGAGGAGGGCCAAGAAAGAAAATCAGTGCTCAGTCTTGAGCACACGGGTTGAGTGTCCCTTATCCAAAGTATTTAGGACCAGAAGTGTTTTGGGATTCA